TCTCCCACTGTCCCCTCCCCGTGTGTCCCAGTGCCCCCCAGTGCCTTCCCGAGTTCCCACGCTGTTGGTGTCTGCAGCACCTCACATTGCACCTCCCCGCTTACCACTGTGCCCTGCTGCCCCCCGGTGACTCACAGAGCATCACACCGAAGTCCCATCCCAGTGTACCCTGCTGTCTCCCAGTATGTCCCAGTAACCAGTTCACCCTACTGTGTCCAGGTGCCTCCAGCCGCTACTCTCCCAGTCCATCCCAGCACCCCTGGTATGTCTCATTCCCACTTCAGTGGCTCCCAGTCCATGTCAGTGCCTCTGAGTCTACCCCAGTTTTTCCCGATATGTCCTACTGCCCCTCCCACTGTCTCCCAGTACACCCCAGGAACCCCCCCTGACTGTTCTACTTTCCCTCCGGTGCCTCCTAGTACATCCTACTGCCTTCCAGGGTTGTCCAGTTTGTCCTCCAGAGCTTCTCAGCCCGCCTAAATGCTTCCCTGTAAATCCGACAGCCTCTTTGCTGTGCATCCCACTACCTCCCAGTCCAACCCATTGCCTCCCAGTCTGTCCCTACCGCTCCCTCCCACTGCCCCCCAACCTGTCCAGGCAGCTCCCAGTGCCTCCCAGCTCCACGGGTGTCACTCCAGTGCCCCGGGGGTGCTGTGACAGCTGACACCTTGAGCGTGGGAGGGCTGCGGCTCCTCCCATCCTGACCAGCACCCGCTCCTCCCTCTCCCAGGCCGATGCCTTCGTGCGGGCGAACGCCTGCAGCAAACTGGCCGTGATCGCCGAGCAGATCCGGCACCTGCAGGAGCAGGCGCGGAAGGTGAGCGAGGGTGGGCAGGAGGCTCGTTGCTGAGCACCTGCCCTCTCTGCCGGGCGTTCGGGGGGAGCTGTGGCCCTGGGTGTGAGTTGGGGCCGGAAGCCCAGCAGAGGAGGTTCAGTGGGAAAATGAGGGTTTGTTGTCAGGGGTCAATGGGGACGGTTTTGAGTGCTTTCACTGAGTCCTGGGCACATCAGGAAGGACTTCAGATAAAGTGGGGGTGCAAGGGCAGGTGATGCAAAGCAGCTCATGTGTCAGGGAGGACAGAGAGATGACTCTGGATTTGGGAAGCATGACTCCTGCATGTGCTGTGCTCCCAGGAGGACCCATAGGGGTGGCAATGTGGCCCTGGTTGGATCTGAGCCCCCTGAGAGAGAAGGGCTTTCCCTGATGGTGGGCTTGGCTTTCCCATTTGTCCCAGCTCGTTTTGTCCTGGCAGCACCCAGCAGGGCTCAGCTGTGCTCATCAATGCACCCTTCACCCTCAGGGGTGAAATCTGGAGTCAGAATGGGAAAGGATCTGCCAGTCAGTGCAACTGGCCTGCGGCCATGGAGGCATTTACGTCATGTAATCATTAACTGGTGGAGCTGGGGAGATGAATTTCCCTTTGTTCCCTGCCCCTTTCCCTGGGGACAGCAGCAGGAAGCCCCCAGCAGCTGTGTGTGTGGGGTCAGGCACAGAGGTGAACCTGGGGAGAGGTGCAGAGATCCTTGATCCTTGGAGGTATCTCCACCTCTGAGGAGAGGTGCTCTGAGGTCCAGCTGACAGGGAAGACCTGGAGAAAACTTAATCTCTTTGGGAAGCATCTCCTTCCTGGGGGCAAATGAAATCAGACATGCAGATTGAGTGTGTCAAGTGATGTGTCTTGGGCTCTGGCAATAGCACATTGTCATTTTATTTCAAATGTAGAAATATCAAATTTGTGTTTTCCAGGTCTTGGATGAAGCTAACAGAGATGCTGATCTGAACCACGTGGCCTGCAACCTTGTGAAGAAGCCAGGAAACATTTACTACATGTACAGGAGGGAGAGTGGGCAGCGATACTTCTCCATCCTGTCTCCTAAGGTGAGTGGTCACAGCCTCTGAGGGAGCAGGGAGGGGAAAAAAAAGTCATGTTTGTGGTGTCTGGGAACATGTGGACCTCAGAAAAAACCACCAGATCGATGGGGGCATTTGTTGGCTGCTGCTCAGTTGACCTTTTCCCTTGGTCTGGGTTAGTCTGCTGGGGCCAGAGCCATCTTATGGAGTTCTCTGGCTCTTGGTGGAGGATGGCAAGAAGCCCTTTGGTGTATGGACCTGAATTCTGCCTTTTGGTCCCTGCAGTTCTTCCTCTGAGCCTTTTATGGCCGGCATGGCTGCCTGACAGGGTGCTGAGGGACTGAGTTTGCCTGCAGCTTGAGGAGTGGCCTTGGAGGTCTCCTCCTTACAGGCCACCCATTTTCTTACATGCAGGGTGAAGGCTTCAGGGCAAACCTCTGGGCAGGTCAGGGAGGTTCTGTGCCCCCAAGCCTCCCTGCATCAGCAGTGCTGGGGCTCGACCTGATCTTGGACTCAGGGTAGCTGAGCCTATTTTTAGGTTAAGAAATGGGATGGTCACGTAGCTGGGAGTGCATCAGAGGTTGGGGGCTGAGGGACAGCACCGCCCAGCTGCAAGGAAAACTGAGTACTGATGAAGTCTCTCCTTTCCTCACTAGGAATGGGGAACCACTCCCCACGAATTTCTCGGTGCCTATAAGCTCCAGCATGACATGTCCTGGACTCCATTTGAGGACATGGAGAGACGAGATGCAGAAACAGCCATCCTGGAGAAGCTGCTGAGCCGGCAGGCAGCACTGCCCCCCTGCACAGAGCCCAACTTCCAGGGCCTGACCAAGTCACAGGAGTGACCACACAGGACCCCCTGAGCAGAGTCCCTGGGTGAGGGGACACGGGGCCTGGGTGCTGCCAAAGGCAGGGCAAGGAAAGAGCCCAAGAAACAAAAATGCTGATTGCTCTGTGCTTTAAGGACACTAATTATGTATTCAATCCTACTGGATTTTCTGGTAATTGAGTAATTTATTATGTTGACCTGTGCCCAGCTGTACTGGGAGGCAGGTGGTACCAGCTGGTGTGAGTTCCAGAGGGCTTGGAACGTCCTACCTGCCTGGCTCTGGTGTACCTCACTGTGGCAGGTAATGATTTCAGGGCTGGATTTTGCCCCTTGTTAAAATGCACATGTTTATGGAACTGTGTGGCCCAGGAAGAGGCATCAAAACCCCATGCAAAGGGTCTGCTGTGATGAGAATCTGCTGGTCTGAACCCCTGAGCTGGGAACATGGGGGACCTGGAGCTCTGTTTTCTGGGAAGCGTGTCCTCAAAAGTGCCATTCAGGCCTCAGGTGCTCTTCAGACAATGTGTGTTTCACAGTCCTTGTGCATTCCCCTTGGATTTGAGTGCATGAGCTGCCAGGTGGAGACAAGGCTCTGGATGCCTCTGTGCCAGAGCGGTGGGGAAAGTAAAATAAACCAGTCTTGGTCTCAGATGTACCTTTGAGACAGGCCCTGTGTTCCTCCTGTGTGGCAAGTATCCCTTTGGCTTTATCAGGGAGACTTGGTGGCACGTGGAGCTGATGGGACATCTCCAGCCTCTCGTCCTTGTGCCCACACCTTGGGAGATGCTTGAGGCTGCTGGCAGTGACAATTCCTTATGGGAAGAGCTGTTCCCTGTGGGACCACATAGAAGTGGGGAAGTTTGAGGCAGCTCCCTGGCAGCCCAGCATTTTTTTTTCCCCCCCCAGGTTGTTTTTCTCCCAGCTCTGCCCAGTGCAGTAGCTCACCCACATGCCAGCATGGCTGAGCCTTTGGTTGACAGAAACCTGCTCCTCAGAGTCAATTTTTCCCAGTGCCCTTCCTCACTTGAAGCACAAGCCAGATTAACAGCAATTATTCTATTATTATTATTATTATTCCAAGGTATAATTAATTCCTCATCAAGTCACAAGTGTCTTAATTTGATGGTTTTTTTTTTTCTCTGCTCATTCCATCGCCCTGGGTCTGATTTTACCCTGCGTTATTAAATCTTAACTTGGAAGGGAGAAAGTTAATTACTGCACGAGCTTTCTGTGGTGCTAATTACAGCAACAGCAGATGTGTGTTGATTTAGTGCTCCTCTGGGAAGTGGGGCTTCCTGCCCCAGTTTTATCTGTTTCCATCATTAGTATCTGTACCATGACACGTGCAAAGAGGTCGGGGTGGTTGTGGGACCTCTGTAGCCTTAGGTGGGATTTCACCTCCAGCAGACACTCCACGACTTGCTGGTTGTTCTGCAGGTCCTCTGGGCACTGGCAAGTCTTTCTCTTGGATTTGCCTCCCAAAGTGGAGCTCCACAGCCTCTCAAAGTGGCCATGCCTGGAGATTTTTTTTCTGGGCTCTTGTTTCTGAAGGATGAGGTGGGTTTAGGGGGATTTAACCCTCCATAAGTCCCTGACTCTTCCAGGGGGTTGTCTCCCAGCAAGGAGGAATTGTAGCTCTTCGGCCCATTTTATTTCAGCTTCAGCTCCAGAGGAGAAAAGGAAAACAAACAAACAAAAAAAAGAGGAAGAAAACATTGAGGGGAATTTGGAAACTGATCCAGGGGATGCCCCACACAGGGAGACTCTGCCCCATGTGCTCCTGCAGCCCTCGAGTGTGTGCACAGAGCTGCAGGTGCAGGGTGGAGGGGTCTAAATTAGCAACACTGAAGTTTTTATTTAAACTTCAAAGGCTTACACAGAGACCAAAGCAGTGTGTTGTTGCTCTGTGGTCAGTTTATACAAAAAAAAAACCCACAAAAAACCCCCAAAAGGCACAGAATTTGCTCTTGCATTGAAAAGACCACCCGGGAGCGTTTGCCACTGCATCCTGTGACCAACCTCCCCTTGCCCACGGATGGTGGATCATCAGCAAAGCTATTTGGGCACATGCACATGATCTCACAAAAAACGTGCAACTAGCAAAAGTATACTTTTTTTCTCCCGTTGTTCTTGAAACCCACAAAGTTTGCCATCATTACAGGAATCCCTGTTGGAGATAAAGGAGGTGTCCGGGATCCTGGAGCCACTCAACAGAGCCAAATATATCCCAACACCTCTGCAGCTTTGAAGCTCCCATTTCTGGACAAGTGACTATCAATTACCAAAGAAACATTAAGACATCGCTTCTCAAAATGCAACTATCATGGAGCTACCACAGAGCTATCACAGAATGTGCTGAGTTGGATCTCACTGCTTGAGACCAACTGATATTTTCTGTACTTAATGCAACTTTCTTTTTCTAATTCTGGAAGATACTTTGCACATCTTTGCAAAGGCTCCTCTCAACCACCTGATACATACAAGACAGGAAGTGAGGGTGGTTGGGCAGGGGAATTTTAATTTTAATAAAAGTGAATTTTTAATAGCCTGAGCCCAAGACACCAGCAGCACCACAACATACACTTCAAAAATAAAGGAGACCTAATTCTTCGCAGAGACAGTGATCAGACACTGGAATAGGCTGCCCAGGTGGATTCACTGTCCCTGGAGGTATTTAAGAAGAGACTGGACGTAGCACTCAGTGCCACGGTCGAGTGGGCATGGTAGTGTTAGGTCAAAGGCTGGACTTGACGATCTCAGAGGTCTTTTCCAGCCTGGTTGATTCCGTGACTTTTTCCACGACTTTTAAGCCTTGCTCTTGTGCTCAGTGATCGGATTGGGTCGTGACTAATAAGATGAGGTCACCATTTCTAGGTCATATATATATATACACACAGTATTTATGGAGAATTGGGTCTGGCAGAGCAGGAATGGTCTCCCGAGTTAGTTAATGTCCCTGGGAACCAAGCCCCTGGAATCTGTTCCCGCTCCCGGATCTCCCTCCGGCGGCGGCGGGCGCGTGCCGGCAGGGGGCGCGTGAAGCCGGCCCCGCCCGCCCCGCCCCGCCCCGCCCCGCCCCGGCGCGCGCTGCGCGGTGACGTCACGCCCCTGCTTGCCCGCTGCGAGGAGGACCACGCAGCGAGCTTGCAACGCCGCCGGCCGAGCGTCTGAGGTGAGAGGAGAGGGGGGGGGGAACGGGACCGGGACGGGGACCCCCGACCGAGCACCGCCGACCGCCGAGGCGGCCCCGATCCCCGCCTGCCACCCACTCCAGGCGACTCCCTGGCCGCGGACGGGGCGCCCGGCGAGCGCCGGAGCGCCCTCTCAGGCCCCGCGGTTGTGCGGGCCTCCCCGGCAGCGCCCTTCCGTGCGGCGGGCTCGTCCCCGTGTGGCGCATTTGCCACTTGGCGGGGCCGGGGGTGCCGGGGCGGCCGCCGCCTCCCCGCCTCTTCCTCTCCGCTCCCTTTCCCCCCGCTCGCGTGGCGGCCGGACCCTTTGGCGAGGCGCAGAAGTGCTTGCCGCGGCATGGCTGGGGCCCAGCCCCGGCCCTGCCCCCGCGCCCGGTGCGAGCCCCGGACTGTGGGAGAACCCCGAGGGGCCATGCCGCTATTCCTCCTCTTTTTGATGCCTCTCATGGCGCTTTGAGAAGGGAGCGCCTTCCCCCGGCTGCGATGGGGCGGTGCCGCAGGAGCCCTAGCCGCGGCGGGTGCGAGACGCTGAGCTCCAGTTGTGTGTGTGCTGCACACAGCCAGCCGAAGAGTCGGGAGGCGCTTCTGGGCATCTGCGAGGCTGTGGGTTATGTTATCCAGAACCATCCCGCAGCTCTCGGTGCAGCGCCGGGGGTGCCACCGGCTGCAGCCGGGGCAGGAGCCAGCGCTGCTCGCTCCGACCAGCTCGGAGGGTTGTTGTTTGCCATTCTCGGAAATCCTCGCAAAAATGTATATATATTGCAGCCGGACGTCACCTTATCTGTGTTCTAATCGCTGTTCTAGCGATCTGGACTTCAGTTGTGTTTTTACCTTCCAGCAGGCAGAACTTGCAGCTGGTGACAGACACTTGTACGACCAGGTAGCTGTGAATATACCAACCAGCACTGGAAACCTGTGCTTAACGAAGGACTGCAGAATGGCCAGGGTTCCTGGTGCCCTGCCTGTGTGGGTGCTGTGGCCAGAGGAGCAGGAACAGCTTTGCTCCCCCCTTGGCAGGCAAGCCCTGGCGAGGAGAAGGCCATGATAGATGGTAACTGGGTAGTCAGAAGTGGCTCGGTCTGGTCATCTGTGCTTCTCTCCCAGGGAAGGAGGTGCTGGCTGTCTCTGTTCGAAGTGTTAAAGTGTTAAGTTGCAGTGCCCCAAATGTCCATTTATTTATTTATTTATTTATTTATTTTTGAAGGCACTTAAAACCTGGATCAGGCTCCTCGTATTGCTCGTAGGGGTAACTCAGTAAGGCACTTAGAGCTGCACTTTTTCACTTAGCAAAAGGGTCTTGTGCAAAATCAACTTTAGGTAGAAAGCCTTTATATTTAACTGACTGTACGTTGGGAAGCTATTCTGCTTTGTAGACTCTTCTTGTTAGTGCAGGGTTCTGGCAAAGGCAGTATAGGCAGGGTTTGATTTTGAATTTGAGACGGGTCTTAGACTCATACATAAGACTTCCATCAGTGTATTGCTGACTGTAGAAATAATTCTGTGTTTAAGCTGTTCACCTGTGTGCCTCAGTAACAACGAGGAAAAGGATTTTTAAAATCCTGGCAAGGAATAAAAAAATACCTACTGCAGTGCAAAAAAAAAAAAAACAAACACCACATGTTTGCAGTTTGGTAACATATCCCAGGCAGAAATTTTAATCACTGGATTTGCTTACTTTGAACTTGGTTATTCATGACCTGCAAGGGATGATCTGAATTCATTACACACCCTGCTTTGGGGTTGGTTGTTTGCCTCAATTTGATGGCCAGGGCTGGGGAGTTTGTGATGTTTTCACTGTTTGATAGAAAAGCTCTGGAAGGTCTAGAGTGTCAAGTACCTAAAATGGAAACTGTGGGTCTTCTGCTGTAAGAACAGTAAACAGAAATGGAGCCCCTGTGGAACTCCCAGGGATTTCCCTGATGAGAACTATGGTGATGATTTGAGCTTCTAGAGCAGGAGGCAGTCAAGAGGAATTGTAGGGGGGCATGGTTATTTTCACCCTTGAAGCTCTGTTCCTGAGGAAAGAATGACACTTTTTCTTTTCTTTTTTTTTTTTTTTTTAGAAGATGAAGGTGTCAAATTGAATGAAAGTGAAATTGGTTTCTGGTACTCCAGGTAGCAAGAAGCTCTTGTAGGTGAAAACACCCTATTCTTATTGTCTTAATATATGACAAATAAAACAACTTATTGAGCAGATAAGCTTTTAGGCAGAGTTTTTAAAGAAATCTAAAGTGTCTTAGACTCCTGCAGCCTGTCACCATTTAATTAAGTGGCTTCCTCTAAGCCCTACACTTCACACTTATTATTAACTTGTATGGTTTCACACTGTACAAGCTAAGGGTATCCATCAGGAAGGATTGCCACTAGGAATGGTAGGTGAAGAAAGCCCTTTCACCAGAGTTTTTCCAAGGGCTAAAGCCTGGCACAAGGTTTTCCCTCCTTGAGGATGTCTGGCTGCCCCAAGGTAGGGTTCAGCTGCCTTTTGCAGCCCTTGGTGTCCATGTCAATGCCTAAGGTAAGTGACAGGAATGGCATTAAGACAGTGTATTCCCAGCTTCTGGTGGGGGATCCTTTAGGTTGTTTTTGGGTAGTTTGTTTACCTGGCCCTGGGTGTGCAGAAAACTGAAAACAGTGAGTGCAAGAAGCAGAGTTTGTGGTGGTGGTGTTGCGTAATTAATCTTTGGAGATCGAGAGAGCGACTGTCCTAAAGGGTTGTAAAGCTTCAAAATGCTGATTGGCCTGTTTTCAATAGAGCAGCTGTCCTTTCCTTGAGATGTGTTGACTTTTCTTCTGAACAAGTGACATTTTATAAAGAGAAAACAAAGAGTTTGTTTTGCAAAAGCTTTTAAAAGCTGCTGTTCTATTTTAAGCTTTTGTGCTGCTAATTCACCCCGTTACTTTAGAATGTTGTGGTGTAATTCCTACCAAGAGAGTTGGACCGCGCATGGTGGACCCGTGCACTGTTCTCTTGTCTCATGGAAAACCAAACCAAAACCTTTCTAAATAAAGGAACACAAGGGGCTTCTTTGGGGCCTTTGCCTGGAGAGGGTGTGCAGGTAGCAGCTCATCCCTGTGAAGTTGTCCATGCCTGTGGTCAGACTGTGTGGGATCAGCCGTGTTTTCCAGCACAGACCAAATCTGGCAGGGGAAGGTGAAGGTTTTCACCAAGCTAAGGCGGTGTTAGAGCAAATCTTAAACTGCTGTGGGGTGGGGAGCTGCCTGGGGGCAGCCACAGGGTTTTGCTGTCACGTGTGGTACCAGACTCCCAGCAGCAGCTGAGGCTGCCAGAATTGTTTTGCTTTTTGTATCAGGCTGGTTTGAATTGCTCAGCTCTTCTCCAGTTGAAGGTTGCTGTGCTGTGTTTCTGGCCAGTGACGAGTGTTCTGTTTCGGGGAAATAATGACAAAAAGGCTCCTGCAGCTTTGGATGCGACTCAGGGAGGCCTCTGCCACTCCGTGGGCTGTGGGCACCAGGCAGCTGTGGCTGGGGAACAGCTAAAGGCAGAGGGGCTGCTGTGGGGCCTGGATGTGACAGCAGCTGTGTGTTTGAGCACTTCTCTTGAGCTCAGGGGTACTTTTGGGTTTAGTGCATGTATTGCTGAGCTAAAGGCTTGGCTCCTTGGAAGCACCCTCTTCTTTCAGGTCCTGGAGTGGGAGCTGTTACTTCTTCTGAGCATTTTGTTTATTTGCTGACTGCTGAGGAGCTGCCAGTTGCCCAGCAGGCTCTTGGTCCCACAGCCTCGGCCCTGCAGGGCTGGTTTTGGGCTGGTGAAGGGAGGTGGTTCCAGCTGCTCTGGTTCCTTCTGCTGGTCAGGTGAGTGCAGGGCAGCTCCCCTGCTGCAGTCCTGGTGTTAGTGAGCCTTCCAGCTACTTTGCTAGTTTTAAGAGGAAACTCCAGGATAGCTCAGTATCTGGAAAAAGTTATTTTTGCAGTGCTTTTTAGCAAAGCTTTATTTCTTTAAATGTCAGACAGCACTTTGGTACCCAGCCTGAGCTCTCCTCCCTCAGCACAGCACATTCTCTGGGCTCCTCCTGGCTGTGTGCATAGAGCACCTGCAGCTCTCCTGTTCCCTGAGCAGGATCTCCTGCAGTGATTTTCAGGCAGGGTGCTTCCCATGGTGCAAAAACATGCCTCAAAATAGAGGAACTTCTACCACTGTTAGATGCAGTTGGCCATGGGAATGTGGAGAGAACTGTCAGGGCCATGTGGGCCTTGATTTGGTTCTGTGTCCAAACAGGAGTGTAGGTGCAGCTTGTATTTTTAAATATTATCAGTATGCAACTCAGCTAATGAAGATAGGGTTTTTTTAAGTAGTAGTAAAATACTGAACAGAACTTTGTTACATGGTTGAGGAAAACGGCTTCCTTTAGAGTATGAAAAGTGAAGAGTAATGATGTAAGATAAAAATGCTTTTGACAGAAAAGACATTAATGTGAGCCCACACACTTCCCAGCACTTAATCTGGGGCAGGTTTTTCCAGTGCTGGGGGCTGCTTTTGACAGTGTAACTTTAACCAGAGTGATAATGGGGAAGTTGTCACTTTTGTGTGTTTTCTGTGGAGTTGGTGATCAGGTGAAGGTGGTTGGTTGGAGCTGTGAAGCGGGACAGTGGGCGATGCCCCTGGTAAAGCAGGTGTAGGCACAGCTGGAACTGGTGTGGCAGAGCCTGCTGAGTCACACACACTCTATCTGACTGGTCAGCTTTCTGGTTTTGAATTTAGGACTAAATGAGATTACATGGTTTTCCCCTTCTTTTTCTTGAAGTTGTTAAACTTGAAATGTGTGTTATGGTGCTGCTGGTGTCTTGGGCTCAGACTATTAAAATTCCCCTGCCCAACCACCCTCACTTCCTGTCTTGTGTGTGTGTGTGTACCAGGTGGTTGAGAGGAGCCTTTGCAAAGATGTGCAAAGTATCTTCCAGAATTAGAAAAAGAAAGTTGCATTAAGTACAGAAAATATCAGTTGGTCTCAAACAGTGAGATCCA